AACTTGCTCAGCCTGGAAAACACAAAGTCATTCAAAAGTACTCTGGATACTTTAAACTAATTTTGCCATGCTAATCTTCTCCATGTATTGAGGGGGCTGTTTTGTAACAAAATTCTTTTCTGCATATGCAGGAAGCAGGAACCAGAGATTCTCAGGAATTAAATCTGAGGGAGAAGCTTCAGTTTCTCAATGCTCGTGCAAGTAAGCCAGATGATGACCGACCCATTGAAACATCAAAGAATGGTAAGGATGTTGTGCAACAGTAGCCTCTAAAAATGAATGTTTTCCATGTAACTAAAAGAATAAGTAATGGAGGTGAATAAGTTATACTGTTTCCTTAAATTTTTTGGAGATTAATTCAGTTGAAGTCACAGGAAGCAACTCTTAGACATGGAAAATGATATATGAATACAGAAGTTTGAAGATGACAGTTGCTGTCATGGGAGGAGATAATGATACATCCCTTGAGGAGGGAGAAGGTGGGGAAAGCAACCCAAGCAGGCAAATGTAGATTCAATTACTAAAGCTTGCTCAATGCCTCCAGAATGGGAAGTGAAAAGCATTTGCCAACCAGTCATTATGTGTATGATGTTTACAAATATGCTTTTCCCAAATACAGTGTGAAAGATTAAAGCTGGATAGCTGTCCAAAAATCAGGTTTTCTTTCTTCTGTTCTTCTAGTTATTAGTAAAAGTACATAACATTGCTGTATTCTGAAACAGTTTTGCACCATTCTTATCCCATACGACTTCTGTATGCAAAAAATATTTGAATTAGTTCTGGAATTTTTGTTTGTTTCTGCTAACTGTAATTCTGTGAAATTAAAAAGACTAATAGAAATTGTTTTGTAACAGTTGAAAGTAGTCCGAGTACTATGACAAAGCCCACAGACCTTTCAAGGCTGGCTTCAAGGTCAGCTGATGACAGCACAGAGAACAACAGACAGCTGAGACATCTGTCCTTACCAGGAGTTTCCAGCGTAGAAGGTGTGTCCTCTCCTGACTGACCTTTCCTTTTTCTAAATCTTTCATGTAAATGATCAGGAGGCGTTAAGTTTAACTGCAATTATGGCAGTGTCTGGATATTTTGTGATAAGTTTGGTCAAGTTGAAAAGCTTGAGAACCATAGATATAACAAGTGTATTAACAAAAAAAAAAAGCAGCAGAGATTTAAACAGGTGTGTTCATTAGAGTCAATTGTTTATTTTGAGTGCATTAAGTATTGTGTCAAACGCCCAAGAGACTGGGGGAGTAGTCAAGGTCAGAATTAGGATGCTGAAGGAAAATGAATTAGGTGTGAATGTGTCTGTTGTTTGTCTTTCTTTTTTTCTTCTTCTTCCCTCTTTAAGAGGGCGCTGCCTGGCGGAATGAATGGTTTCTGGATCTTGCTGTTCTGTCTCTTGAGCTACTGAAAGGACATTGCTTTGCATCAGAAAGTGAATAGACACTTTTTTTTCCTTTATATGATCAGTGCTGTTGGTATAGCAACAGTCATTCAGAGCTTGCTTTTGTGAAAGATAGCTGCATCTGTATGCAGTTGGTAGTGGTAGAATGGGCTATTAGCTGTGGCCAGAAATAGGGATATTTCATTTTATTTTTTTTTAAGACTTAAGAAATGTTGAAGGTCACGTTTTGTGGGTTTCTTTCCTCCTGAACTTATTGACAGCACAGAAGGCAAACTACACGTTTAGAGATGCTTTATTTACTTAATGACTAGGTGGTAACACATAATGCAGTAAAACTGGAAGAGTAACTTGTACAGTGTTCCTGTGTGCTTCAAAGGATTACCTCTAAATCATTGTTCTTTTTGCAGATCTTCGGGATTTGTTTGACAAAGCACATGAAGATGCTGATGGAAAACTGTCATTTGAAGATCTTCAAAAGCTGCTGGGCTCTGCAGCCCAAGACTCACAGATCTTCAAGAAGTTTGACACAGATGGTGATGAGAAATACTCATTAGAAGAACTGAGATTAGCTTTGGGTGTATAGGATAGAGGTTTAGGAATGTGATATTGAGGAACACTGCTGTAGCTAAAGGAAACTACAGGACATGAAAAAACTGCACTTTCCCAGTGTTTTATTGACCTTTGGAGTGTACACAATGACATCTCTTTTTTTCGTTTGCATTTATTGAAAAGAAATTTACAGGTTTAGATGTCAATATGGCATAATATTGGGACTGTATTACAATCAGAAAATTCCCAAACTTGTTTAGAAGCACTTGCTGGTCTTTCTTTCCGAGGGAGTTCTTGTTTTTAATTTAAAATGTGTACATACAAAAATAAAACTATGGTTTTATATTTCACTGAAATTTGCCTTAAGTTAGAGAGCTGCACTTTACGTAAAGCAGAAAGAAGTCTGTCTTGTAAAGATGGGCTTTTTCTGCTTGTAAATATCTGAAATAGCTTAAATTATGCATATTTAAGGAGAAGTTAGTGTCAGGGGTTGTGTTGGCAGTAAACTGTTTATAATGAGAGACTCGAGCCTAAAAGGAGTGGTTGAGAACTTCAGCTGAATTCTAGTTTTAACTAAGTATATCCATGGATGAGTTTGAAGTTAGGCAGAGGATGGAAGGAGAGAGGAACCATGCACATCTATAGCAAGACTTACTTTCAGAGGGAAGAGTTGAATGTGTTTTTATATCGTGAGCCTACAGGAGCAATTACCTACCAAGTGCTTGGGTTTTCACTTCAGCATTCTTTTAGCTTTGCTGTACTGCATCCAGATTACATTTTCTAAGATGAGTCTAACTGGTTTGAAAAAGAAAAAAGCGACTGAAGAACTTGAACAGATACTGAAGAAGTAAAAAGCTTACAATGCAGCCTGCTGAGTAGCAGCCCAATAGCTCTAACCCTGCTCTCTGTGCAGAGGTGTGCTGAGTCACGCTGACTGAATACTTCAGACCTTGTGATCAGGTTTGCTGATGCTGCTGGCTTCTTCCACCCACTGTTGTTGAGGTCACTGATGAAGTGCCCTGAGTAAAGTTCCTTGTCAGTAGGATTGTGAGCAGGTGGGGAAGGCTAAAGTAGAATTTGTTTTTGTTGTTTTTTTTTCCTGGTTAACATGCATGTGATTGCTTCTTGGTACTTTAACCTTTGTCTTCTCCTCAGGAGGATTTAGAAGGCAGGGTAGGCGGTTGCATCAGTGGGTCTCTACTGACAGGTGCTTTGTGAGTGAGGTTTCCTTGGTACAGAGGAACTTAAAGTTGTGTTTATGCTAGTGGATCTAAACACCAAGCATGTTTGTAATCTGCTGGAACATGACAAAATACTTTTGCAGGAGGTGTTATCTTATCTTGCAGGCCAGATCAGGGCCAAATCAGATGATTCTGCTCACAATATCACTAATCTTGTTGGGAGTTGTTTTTTTGCATGATTAGTGAATTGAATGTACCCACCTCACTGAAACATCAGTTTATGTGGAAGTCAGTTCATAGCTGTTGAATTTCATGTAACTTTGGGCTGGATGTTTATAGTTGTGTGAATAATTGTATTCTGGAAGTATGTATCAGTGGAGGAATGTGCAAAATGAAACCCTTTTACCCATTGCCTAGGCTTCTCTCACTGTTGTTCTTCTCTCCTATTTGGGTAATGCAGACCCAGTAAGGAGATGCTTTTGATGTGACGTTTTAAAGCGCAGTATCTCAGAACAAATCCAACCAACCTTGGCTTTAAGAGGCCAAGAAGCCAATATTTGCTTCTTGCTGCTTCCTGCACCCTTTTATACACTTCCGTATAATTCCTTAACCAAATAATAATAATAAAACCCTAGCAATAAAATGTAACCATTCTGGTATTTTATTTGTACATACTGTATCATAGCCATATGCCAGAGTTTGCAAAATATTTTTGAAAGTATAATTTGTACAAAATTCACCTTAAAATTTAAGGAATTATTGTATTGCCACGTGAACCTACTGGTGTTTTGTTACTGTATGCTTTACTTTCTGAAGGCTTTTCAACAGCAATAGTGAAGTTGTCAGCTAGAGCTTGTTGAGAATAGCATGAGATAGCAGTGTCCTCTGTATGCAGCCAAGGAGCTCCGTTGGTAACCAGTTGGCATTAAGGCACAGCTGTCTGTGGTGCTGCTTGAGATGCATGTCCAGAGTGCGGCTGGTTGCTGTTGTTGCTGCCACGTAGGATGGACTTGTGCTTTGAGTTTAACAAAATATGACCACGTAGGAGTGCAGCAGTAGCTTCTGTTCGGCCTAGGCTTGCTGGTAGCTCTTTGTTGCAGCCTTGGAGCACTGCTTTGATCCCTGCAGGTCTTCTGCTGTGCCTCCAATCTCAATCCCATGTGCTTCCTATGCTGTTGTGTGCTCGTGGCAGAGGGCGCAGGTGAGGGATGGTGAATGCATTTGTCCAGATCTGTGAGGATATGGTGGGATGTGTCTGTAGGAAAAACATCCACTTCAGTGGATGAGAGCAAGTCCTAGGGGAGATGCCTGGAAACCAAGAGGTGAAATCAGAGAGTCATTAAGGTTGGAGAGATCAGTGAGATCATGGCAGCAGTGAGCACTGTGGGGCTGATTTGAGACTCTGGGGACAAGCAGGGTGACCTCACGTTGGTGTGGAGGCTCCTGGGTGGCCACAAGCACTGCCATTGGGCTGCAGCCGTGCTGTGCCGTGGGATGGCCGTGCCAGGCTGCAGCGGGAGCGCCGTGCCACTCCCGTGCTCTGATGCTCGGTGTCATTTCCACCCTGTGTTGTTGTTATTTTATTTTTTGTGACTCCTGCATAGGGACCGCTTTGTACTTTCAGTTTACCCAAGGCTCGCTGCTGTGCTGTACTCGTTTCACTAACGTACGACGGCTTCCCGGGTCCGCGCGAGCTGGCTTGTAGCTCCCGAACACCACACGCTTTTCTCATGTAACTTTATCTCAATAAAAGCTCATTCGTAGCGTCGGCCTCTCTCGCTCATTCGGCAGCGGAACGGAACGGCGGGGCGCCGGGGGCGGGCGGAGCGCTGCTGCGGGCGGAGCGGGAGCGGCGGCGGCGGCGCCATGGCGGGGCCGCTGGGGCAGGGCTGGGGGCTGGGGATCGCGCTGCGGAGCCGCGCCGCGCTGCGCCCGCTCGGGCTGCTGGCCCCGCCGTGCCGGGGGGCGACGGCCCCGCAGTGCCGGAGGGTGACGGGATCGGGGGAGGAGGTGCTGGAGGAGAATCCCTTCTACGGGAAATACCGTCATAAGATCCAGGAGCTGCGCAGGTTGGGGAGGGAGGGAATGGGGCTGGCAGAAAGGGGTCGGTCGCTTGGCGCTGTTAATGGTCTCTTATCTGATTCAGGTCCAGTCCGGATGTGTTTGAATCCCGGATGGAAAAAAGAAATGAAGTGAAAAAGCAGCCCGTGGGGTATTCGAAGCAATCAGAGTTTGTCAGACGCATGGAAGAAAAGGCAAGGCCGATTTTCCTTGTAATTGATAGAATCAGCGAGCGCATCGTTAAGGCTGGAAAAGGCCGTGAGATCATCCAGCACAGCCGGGGAGGTGGAGTCACATGGAGGTCCATGGAGGTGTTCAAGAACACATAGATGTAGCACTAAGGAATGTGGTTTGGTGGTAGGCGGGCAGTTGGACCAAGTGATCTCAGGTGATTGACTCTTGGATCAACCCAGGTGATCTCCAGCCATAACGATTCTGTGATTCCATACCTTTGTTATTGATGTAGGATCAACACAAAGCTACAAACGCAGCATTCCTGCTGGAAAGGAGCCCCACATCTTGCTCTCTAATGACTAAGAATATCATTCCAGTGTTATTCTGCTGGTTTTTTAGCCTGTAGCCTTTCTGAGCTTGAGAGCCTTTCTGAGCTTGAGAGCTTTTTTAGGTGTTTAATTAGTTCCAGATTAGTTTGGCTAGATCAGACATCAGCTTGCACAGAAAGGTAGTGGAGCTGTCAGGGGTCTGGAGTACTAATGTTATGGGGAGCAGCTGAGGGAATGGGATTGTTCAGTCTGGAAAAGAGGAGGTTTGAGAGAGTTGCACCAGCAGAGGTTTGGGTTGGATATTAGGAGCAATTTCTTCTCAGAGCAGTGATGCACTGGCACAGGATGCCCAGGGAGGTGGTGGGGTCACTGTCCCTGAGGTGTTCTAGATGTGGCACTGAGGGACACGGTCTGTGGGCAGGGTGGCATGGGGTTGAACTGGATGATCTTAGATGTCTTTTCCTACCTTAACAATGCAAACGAAAACAACAACAGTTCAGTAATATTGGATCCAAAATGAATAATACTTTGCCTTAACAAATCTTTCCTGATCACCTAATTCATAATTCACATTGTTGTTCTTATTGCTTCAATAAGCAGTAACAAATCAGCAGTCTATTGCAGTAAAATGCACTGCAGCAATCTGTGAGCATCTTGAAGTTGAGCTCATACTCAGAAGATGTCAGCAGACATGATATGCATGGCAGGCAGAGCAAATAAGTGGTACTGCAGCTGGAAGAAAATTAAAGAATAATGTTTTCTAGGCAGAAGGCCTGAGTACAAGGACGTCAAAGGAAGGATTCACACGAGATAAGGTAAGGACAATGAACCCAGGTGCTAGCAAGTGAAGGGTAGATGTTAATTTGGCACATTGTTACCACCAGTGCTTTAGCCAAGAGATTTGAGGTACAACTAATCTTCCTTATGCTGCACTTCATCAGCAGATGTTCATTTACTAGTGGGATTCATTTACTACTGGGATTGTGTTCAAGTCTTAAAACTCCTGGCAGTCTGTTTTTATTATCCCATCCTTTCTCTCTGACGTCCTGCACGTTCCTGCTAGCCAAGGAGTATCAAAGCTCCCAGTAATAAATCAGAAGGGTTAAGCTACCTCTTCAGACTTTAAATATATTTCCAAAGTTCAGCCAGAAGAGGGACAGGAGTATGGTTTTATTCTCTTTAACTTTCTTGTATTTTGGCAAACTTTCTTTGTAAAGCTGCCAGCAGAGCACGTGTGAGATGGGTGAAGGGGAGAGGCTGCAGCTCATTTTTCCAGTGCTTTGGAGATCTGCAGAACTGGAGTGAAGCATATTCTCTGTCCTGACAGAATCTCTTGCGTTGTGCTTCAATGTGAATCCAACTTAACCAGCATGTTACTGCTTAAGTTTAGTAGTTTCTATGGCAATTCAGAGAACTAAGATTGCAAATTGAATTAAGTCACTCTTGCTTCATTTTGTTCTCTGTAATTGCATCCATTCATTCTGAAATCTCACTTGAATCAGAGAACTGTCACTGTGCCAGATGCCATATGCTTTGTCTTGCAGACACTTGATTCAATTCTTAACGTTGAGATGGTGAAAGAGAAATCAGCAGAGGAAATAAAGCAGGTAATGGATTTAAATGGCATGGAGTTTGCTCCACACCTGTGCTTAATAATGATATTAAGCACACATGTATGTATGTGTGTGTATATATGTACATATATATATGAGGTGACCTACCATGTGTTTGATCGCTCAGAACGTATCACTGCTGCAACTGATAGCAGCTATTTAATGTGGAGCTGTTTAGGTGGAATCAACAAGCCCCCCTGTGGGAGGGGAATCCTGGCAGTAGCTCGTATGGCTTATGCTGTGTCTGTTTTGCAGGAATATAAGCAAAGCTTTGGCCATCTTCTAACTTCACTTGTGTTTTTTGTCATGCAGGACATTTGTACTCAGACTAAAGGTGGTTAGGGTTAGAAGGAGGAGGGTGCATTTGTTTTAAGAACAGTGTGAATCAAGTTATTCTCCCTACTGTCTTTTTTATTTGCACTGTTCCCTTTTATCTGGTTATATTTCTGTTCCACACTTACGATGTTGTCGGTCAGACTTGGCTGCAAAATGACCCCTCAGAATGCTAACAAAGCTTAGTTGACAAATGCAGTTCTTTTTAAAGCATTTAACATATCTGCTTTTTAATTGTAGGTGATTTCCTTTGTTTCTTACAGATTTGGAATCAGTACTTTTCTGCAAAAGATACGGTTTATGCTGTTATTCCTGTAAGTAGTAACTCAGCGAAAGAAAATGAGGTTTCAAGTAAAACTTTCTTGCCAGGAAGAGTTATTGCTTTCATTGAATAAAGGCCTTTGTTTCTGAAAACGTTTATCTTAATATTTTCCTCTCCTGAAGGTTGTTGTCAAAGCTCATACTTCTTTCTGCACACCTGGTCTGAATTTCCAAGCTTCTTTCTTTACAGTAACCAACATTTTTTTGCTAGGCTGTAGCATCCTTTTTGGTAGCATTTGTATTTTCATATAATTTTTTTCTCAAGATTTCTCTTCTCTTTGCTTTCTTCCCTTCAGCACAGACTTGTACTTTTAACAAGGCAGTGTTAAAGTGCTTGTCTAATAAACTTGTACTTAATTATGACAGTGGCATGCTGTTAAAGTTACTGGCAGTGCTGTTGTTCATTGAGAATGTGTAGTGCTTCCTGTGATAAGATCGTATTTCTTATTCCTGATAACTTTACCAGCTGTTAATTGCTCTTATTCTGCATTAACCTGAAATCTTGTTGTGTTTGTTTGTTGGTTGGTTTCAGTTTGGGGATAGACTTAAGGTGGTGTAGGCCTTCATGAGTGGGGTCACTGTTCCTTGTTGTGCTGCTTTAGAGAAGCTCTGGGAGTGAGCTTTTTTAATCTATAATGCAAAGCATATTGTAGGCACAAAGGGAATTAGTCTGTGGGGTTATTGAGGGGGAAAAAGCTATGTCTTCTGCCAGAAGTTTTTTTGTTGGCTTGAAGAAAGGCGTCACGTAATTCTGAAGCGCTCAAGAGCGCAGATGGAGGAATTTTGTATTGATGGGTAGCATGTGTTTTCTTTCCTCAACACCTTAGAGTAGGTATTAACACAAGATGCTGGTAGGAAGAGAGCTGGCAAAAGATTTGGGGGAGCACAGAAGACGTGTGAATGAGACGGCTGGGTTTCATCAAACCAAGTATGTTTGTGGTTTTAATACAAACTGAAGCAATGAATATTTAAATAAGCATCCTGCATTTTAGTACTTGAAAATAGTAATGTAAAATCCATCATTCGGGGCCCGGAATGCATCATCTTGCTCAACTGTTAATGCCACACTTGCTAAAAAGGGCACAATGTGAGCCTAAAGCGTGGCCTCCTGCTTCCACTGAAATAGAGCTGTGGATCCAAGAAGTTTCCTGCTGCCTCTTGGAGACAGTATTGTTCAAGTAGGGTGCCAATAACATTTAGGTAATGAAGCACTCGTGTAATTTTCTGTGCATTTGGTGTTAACTGTTTCCACAGTGAGACTTGCTGTAGTTGGAAGTTGGGGAGTTGTGCTCTGTAAAGTTTAATGAAATGATACTGAGTTGCAACTACGTCCACAGCTGTATTATGAAAAAATAATCTTTCTCTTTCCCAAAAGGCAGAGAAGTTTGATTTAATATGGAAGAGAGCCCAGAAATGTCCATCGGTACGTCTGGCAGAGATCCACAGTGTGGTGATGTATAGTTGTAATGCATTTCTCCTGTCTAAAGCCTGATTCATAAACTTTTGACCCTCCTTTGTTCGTATGTATCGTATTGGCTCAATAAGTAAAATGCAGGCGTGCAGCTTGTCACAGTGTTCAGATAAAAGCAGTGGCTATTCAGATGTACTGAACAGTTGATCCAAGTGTCAGGTGTCTAGATTGAAAAAGAGGTGTAGAGTTCAGAAATGTGAGCACAGAATCTCCCAAGGAATGATTTCATAGAATCATGGAATTGTGTAAGTTGGAAGGAACGTTTAAAGGCCTTTTAATCCAACTCCCCTACAGTGAACAGGGACACCCACAGCTCCATCAGGTGCTCAGAGCCCAGTCCAGCCTGACCTTGAATGCTTCCACCACCTCTCAGGGCAACCTATGCCAGTGCCTCACCACTCTTACTGTAAAAATAGCAGCATGCATCTGGTTTCTACTAATTGGTGTCTTGTGGATAAACCTCTTCCATGCAGTTTTGTGTAGGGCAGCTTCATTGATGTTCTTCTGTATCTTTCCTTAATATTTAAAGTGCCTGTGTTTTAATCTGGAAGAACTGTTAGCTGTAGCTACATGTCACCATGGCATTAGATTGCATCTACATAGAGAACGTGAGTTTTCTTGTCTCACAGTTGATGTGAATTGTTCCTGTTTCATCTTATATTTGCTTGCTGGCAGTAAATAAAAGTAGAAATAACTTCAAGGGAGAGCTACAATAAATAATGATGTTCTGTGTAATTTCCTTTATGGAGCATTGTAAGTCAAGGGTTGTGACAAGAGAAGGAAGTGGGGAGTTGGGTGTAGTTGAATCCTTTGTTACATACAGAGTAAATATTCAGTGGATTGTGCCGTGTGTGTATGACAGCACAACAATGCATAAAATACTGAGGATTCCTGAGATTAGAGTTCACTGCTTCTCATGGGGGCTGGTAGGTATCTTGTAAGCCTCAATTAGAGAATTCCTGTTGCATTGAAGAAGTTGAACTGCAAAGGATAGGAACAGCTAACAAGATAATGTTTCTTCAGTTTTGTACCATGTACTGCTGGATTGGTATTGTTTTCTGCTGAAAGTACTTTTTTCAGTAATTTGTGCAGTGAAGCATGGACTTTGTGCAGATTGCATTTGCTAAGCTAGAAATTAAATCCTTCACTGCTTCGCTGAATCAAAGGATAGCTAGGCTTTGTGACACCGTAGGTCTGATTGAGAAACTTCATCAGATTGATGGCTTGGTACTGTGTGTTCTGTTTGCCAAGATCAAATATGTCTGGATTCCTGAGCTATGTGGAACTTAGGAAGTTAGTTACAGTTTTGAGTGCGTTTCTATACAGTCTGTTGGCTTTTATTCAAGTATCCTGCTTGTTTCCTGCTCCTACACTGTCCTTCCTCTTGGTGTGGGAAAATGAGCAAGTCCCTACCTCTTGGACCAAGCAGACTGTAAGTCTCAAAGAGAAAATGCTTGCCTCTTGTTCTGGAACAGGTAATAAGGTAACTGTACAGAATTGGCAACTCTGAATGTTCCCCATCTTATTTGTGACCATTTCTAGTACTGTTAATTTTTTAGAAGCAAGCTGACAGGTCAGTGTGAATGTTCTCTATAGCCCTTTCCTTTGTCTCGTGTAATACTGATAACAATATGTCTCAATGTTAGTGATTTTCTGCTGTAGCTCTCTCTTAAGAGTTTATGTTGAAGGCCAGTATGACATTGGGACTTATTTTGTTCTATGAAAAGGAGTCTTATTTTTTATCCCTTCTCTGCAGTTTCTGTATGCTTTGCCAAGAAAAGAAGGCTATGAGTTCTTTGTGGGGCAGTGGTCAGGAACAGAACTTCACTTTACTTCTCTGATAAACATTCAGGTGAGTAGTTACTATAACAAGACAAAGGTGGCTTGGGGTCCAGAAATATATATCATTTTTACTGAATAATTTGATGAATGCGTTGTCTAGCTTAACTTGAAAACAGTTATCAGTGAAAAACTGCTCTTAATTATGGGTATTCAGTAAATTTAAGGTACTAAGTGTCTCTTTCTTCTAAGAAAAAATCAAGTAGAAATTGAGCAGTATCAGAACAGAAAGATGAAGCAAGTATTTCAGAGTTGTCTGCACAAACTGTTTAGAATACCAGTAGATGCTATGAAATGCAATGTCTTCCTAGAAATTGCAGATTATATTAAATGTAGTCTTTGGTTAAGAAAAACTCAAACTCTTCAAATTGCTTGTTTTCAGTAAGTGCCAGAAATAATTAGAACTGACTCTTAAGCCTTGAAAAATGACATCTCCATAGCAGCTAATACTCAAAAGTTTTATAATCAAGCCCAAAAATGTGCAGTAAAGCTGAAGTTTTTTATGGGATACCAACAGGTTTCTTTCCTCCCTTCAGACCCAAGGTGAAGCTGCTCCTAGCCAGTTGGTCTTGTACCATTATCCTGAGTTGCAGGAGGAGAAAGGAATAGTACTAATGACTGCAGAAATGGACTCCAAGTTCTTGGTAAGAGAAAAATGCTCATTGACTTCCCTCATTTTATACTGCTTGTTCTGTAGTTGCCCAGAGATGTAATGGATGCTCCATCCCTGGCCACACTCAAGGTGAGGCTGGGCAGGGCTCTGAGCACCTGATGGAGCTGTAGGTGTCCCTGTTCTTTGCAGGGGAGTTAGATCAGATGGCCTTTAATGGTCCTATGTTTCTATGAACTGAAAACAAATTAGAGTCTTAAAAAGATCCTTTCTCAAATAGTACTAGATTTCTTTAACCTAAACTGTTTAGTGATCTAGGGGAACTTAGAAGGAAATCAGCAATCTTTGGCTGTCTGGTATTTGCGCTTCATACATTATTTTTTCTTACGCTGGTTGTTATAGTTTATTTTTGTGAAACATTAAGAAAATTCAGAAATATTTCTGATCTTGTTAATGGAAGCAAATGGAAGTGGTCGCCACCTGCCAACAAGTTAAATCAGTGTTCTGAAGCTTAGTAGAACTAGTCAAAGCGAGAGTCTCCAGAGCTTTGCATTGAGTTCCTGGGTGCCTCTGCTCTTTCCCCTATGTGTGGGTGTACTTTTATTTGCATATCTGTAATAGTATGGCTCTAGAGATTAGAGTGGTAGAACAAGATGATAACCAAAGCACCCTATCTCTAATTTGACCCACTTACATCATTTCTGAAACTATGTGATAATACATTTGCCCTGTTGTGTCTTAGTGGGCAATCAAATTTTGCAAAGTAAATCAGCTGTAAGAAGAGAAAGACAAGGCTTTGGATCTCTGCTGCCTTATAGTGGGTAAGGGCCATGAAGGGTGGGTGCATGTTTGTCCTCTGAGGTATAGGTTCTGCAGGAGGCTCGTTTGTAGGCACAGTGCTCAAGGGTCTAAGTAGGTCAGGAGCAGGGGTGAGATGATTTGTGAAGACAGTGAGTAGGACTGCAGCCTTTCTGCCCTTAAAGACTCTTTTTCAATGGGAAACGACAAAACTCAGCAGTGACAAATTCTTCATTTTAATTTGCAGGTGGTCCATGAAGCCCAGTGCTTAGCGAATCAGGTGCAGCTCTTCTATGCAACGGATTGTTCTGAGACCTATGAATTAGTGGAGACCTTCAACCACAGATCCAGTGAATTTAAATACATGTCAGTTATAGCAAAGCTGGAGCACAGCGGCCTTGGAAAGGCACTGAGACCTAATCAGGTTTCTGACAAGTCTTAGAGCCTGACCATCCGAGTGAAGGAGCCAGCAGCAGGCGGGGGGGGGGTTCTCATCTGGGATGCTTCTCATCTCTTGTTTTGTGAATTTGAGTTGGCTACAAAAGGGATCTGGAAACATGCTGGGACTGTGGTCATCAAGTGGGTCTGGCACTGATGCAAGATGAGGACTTGGGTCATTTGGGCAGTGGTAACTAATTGGTGGACTGAAGCACTGCACTTTGGCGTAACTTTGTCAGAATGAGCTATTCTCTCATCTCTGACTTATGCTGCATGCTGTATTTTATTTTGAAATCTGAAATGTCAAAAGGGCAGCTATGTAATGAAGTGTGTAGACATCAAGAGAGAGAGCAAACAATGTTTCTTCTCTGTAAATGCATTTAAAATGCCCTCTGCCATTATAATTGCATGGTCTAGTGCTTTTAATTTGTGAGGAATTTATACAGACTTGTCTATCAAGAAAAAAGAATAGGTCTGATGGTCTAAAACAGACTCCTCATTGTTACTTTGTGTGTGAGGTTCCTTGTGCAGATGTGTGCCGAGGCCCGTGCCTTTTTCAGGAATGAAGAACAAAGTGCCTTGGATTTGTTCTGCGAGTGTTTTGCTTCTTAATTGATATATTCATTTCATCTTGTTGGGTTTCTTAGAGATATTTTGCTTGAGGAACAGGAAAACATGTTTTTATTTCTGCATATTTTTGAGTAGTGAAGAGGAACTACCACATGCTTTTTTGGAGTGATTTTTCTTAGGCTGGTATCTACTCAGCCAACTCTACAAATGGTATTTAAAGAGACAAAAAAAAAAAATAGCTCCTATCCCCATATCAGGAAAGCCGCTATCTATGAGGAAATGGCATAATAAGAGAGCCACCACCACCCAGTTGCTAAATGACAACTGGTGTGAATATGTGCAGCTGCTTTAACATAGCAGTGTTTGTAGGAACCTGGCTTTGTGGGCTGCAGCAGGGTAGGTTTTTTTAAACCTGCTTTCAACAGAAAGATCCCAAAGCATTTGTGCTTTGAGCTTCTCTTGCTTTCATCCCCAGCAGAGGCAGCCAGTGCATCCTCCTTTGCCAAAGAAGCAGAGGCACAGAGGATAAGCCACTTGTCTGTCTGTCAGAAGAAGAGTAACTTTTGGGGCTGTCCTTAACTGTGACCCAATACAGGTTTGATGAGTTAGCTGAGTTACACAATGTGTTTGCTAGTGTAGCTGCAGAGACCTGTCATGCCATGTGTTCTCAGCCCATTCTTTGGATGTGAGCAATGCTCACCTGAGTGCTGAAGATAGATAGCGAGATTTCATCATTGAGGTCTGTTCTGGCAGTGACCTGTACGTGTTGAGGTGAACTGTTGTCCATTCAGGGAAATAAAGGAGGCTTCTAGAAGAGGGCTGTGCTTTGAGTAGGCGGTGCTGCTCCCTGCTATTGCACTCTTGTGGTTTCTGCTTGGGTTGGATCTGTGAGAGTCTGCATAGCATGGGAAGTGTGGATAGGGCTGTTAACCTGAACAGCACATCACCTTTATTGAACAGCATTTTTACTTCTGTTTTACAGCATTCATGCGCCTTTTATCATTTTATCTTAGCTGAAATAATGACAATTTTGATTAATTATTCAATTCCTGCTTTGAAGAAGTCAAAGATGCTGGATTCATTTTTAATATAGGTTTAATCTAACATCCCTGGATGAGTAATTGGCAACAGGAGTGAAATTCTAGGATTTCAGATCTACACCCAAGCTGCCTGTGAGCTGAAAAGACTGAAGTCTCTAGATCAAGGCTGGAAGCAGTCACTACCTTTAATTTGAGTGTTTTGTTTTTTTTTTTTCAATTTATTAGTCACAAGCTCAGTATTTCTCTGAGGATTTAAGACTATCATGACAAAATACAGAAGGGGAAGCATTGCGTGTACTGGGAGTGTTGTTAAATAAGACCCTATTTGAAAAGGCAAAGCTCATCGTACCACTTGCAGTTATTCTGCCAGGAGGATGGGGCAAGTGCCTTTTGTGGCCCTAGAAGAGGCGGAATCAATCAACTGATTCCAATGAAGGGAGCAAGGGCTCCCTTTTTCTTTGGATATTTTCTTGAGATTTGATGTGTACACCACAACACATTCCCTCCTTGTGTCAGGGTTAAACCACTTGGCATGCAGCTGGTGACCCAGTGTTGTGTCATGTGTCCCCAACCAGCAGAGAAGCCAAGAGGCAGGCAGGTGTGTGTGTGCAGTGGTACGAAGATAGCTGAAGGCTGAATGCTGCACAACCTCCTGGTGGTATTTCCAGGTCTTCTGCTGAGAACAGCTTGATGCAGCCCCTCCTGGAAGCATTATCCCTGTTTATTCTCCAGGAAGCCGTGAACTCTGCTATTGAAAAGTGCATTTATGACCTATGCTTAGCCTAAGAGCTGGTGAAAATGAATGTTAGTGTGGCTGTGTTCTGCACAGTCAGTTTCAACCACTAGAGGGAAGATGTTTCCTCATTCTGAGCTACCAGCACACAGTTTACAAAGCCCGCCTTCTCAGAGCTTTGTTGAAACAATCAGTTTGGTAGTGAAAAATGCCAAGATGGACAGGCTTCTCCTGTATGGGCTAGCACTGAGAATGTGATGGGCTGTACTGAGTTACACTGGAGGTTCCCCCAGCCTTGCATCCTACGTGAGCTGCCTTGGCAAGGGTGCAAGGCTAGAGTAAACTCAGCAATAGCTTTCCTCAGTGTGGGAGAAACACGGATCGCTTGGAGTGTATCCAGAGGAGGACCACAAAAACGATAAGCAGGATGGAACACCTGCCCTACGAGGGCATGCTGAGGGCTGGGGCTGTGCAGCCTCAAGAAGGGAAGGCTCCAGGGAGACACGTGAATGGCCTGGTGCCACGCTTGTGACATCTTTTGGAGGCACAGCGCCCTGCTGCTGTGCAGCTGTGTCCTGGCATGAAGCCCTGCTGCAGTGCCGGCCTCTTCCCATGACTGCCCGTGGGGCCTCCTGGAGCCACCAGCACTCCGGGCCCACTTCCTTCCCCGCTTCCTTCCCCCTGATAAATTCAGCAGTGCACCTGCCTGCGTGAGCGGGGCCAGGCCGCCCTCTTCCTTCCTCTGCAGCAGACAAATGCCCCTTCAAAAAGATGGGCTGTGTCCCTGGCCCCTCTCCTTTGGCTGCTGCCTGCCTACCAGTGTTTTGGCTCTGTCTCTGTTTCACTTGGATGCAAATCGTGGTTGTGGGTTCCCTGTGGGATCTGTGCTGTCCATCGCAAAGCCCTTGGAGCTTTATCTGCTCTGCAGACATCTGTCCCAGCCTCTCAGTCAAAAGCTCCTGGGATGTTCCGTGTTATGGTTCTCTGTATCACTTGGGGGCAAGGGTGGACTCCGGTGTTCACCGTGTCCTTGGGGAGGAATCACAGAATCACTGAGGATGGAAGAGACCTTTAAGATCACTCAGTCCAACCCCAACCCACCCCACCATGCCCACTGACCATGTCCTTCAGTGCTACATTCCATGGTGACCCCACCACCTTCCTGGGCAACCTGTGCCAGTGTATCTTGGAGAAGAAATTGTTCCTAATACACAACCTTAACCTTCTCTTGTGCAACTTAAGGTCATAACCTCCTGTTTCACCTTCAAATGTCACCTTTTCTGCACAAACTCATGCTGCAATGGATGCCAGTTCCATGCCCCTAGCTAGACTGAATCACAACCATGGGTGAACCCAACACATCCTCACTGTGTCTCCAGCTGCCACCCAGCCCTGAGCTGCCCTTAGCCGTGTCCTGCTGGTGACCGGGGATGTCTGCAGGTGACTTGCTTTTTAAAGGCTGGCTCTGATCCTCATGACTCCAAGTCAGATCTGTGGTTGAGAACCCACGCTACAGGGAAGGGGTGCTGCAGCCCCATGCCAATGACATGCTTCATAGCCTGACCAAAGTCAGTTTTCTCTGTGGACTGAAATAGTTTTTTTGTTGTTGATTTTTCTTTTTGTTTTCATTCTTCCTTTCTCTTTCTTTTTCTCTCTCTCTCTCTCTTTTTTTTTTTTTCCCCCCTTTGGAAGGCATCCAACCCATCCTGGCGCTCAACCCTGCAACGTGCCAAGTTGAGAGGGATGTGTAATTCACACGAACGTGCACATATCAGCGTGTGCCCGGCTGCAGGAGGGCAGCCTGCCGGCGTGTCCCAGGGACAGCTGTGGCTCCGGCAGGGTCAGGATGTGACATCACTGGCGGGAGAAAAACCCTCAGCCCCCGCTTTCTGCAACCAAAACCTCAGTCAGCGTGCGGCTGCTCTCTGTGCTGCAGGGCGTCCTGCCGGATTCTGGGCTTTTATTTTGAATGTTTTTTCTTTCCTTTTTTTTTTTTTTTTTTCCCCTCAGTAAGTGCAGAAAGTGCAGCGGGATTGTGTGCTGGCAGCCAGGCGTGCTGAGGATGAGGTGAGTGCTGGGGCTGGAAAAAGGAGTAGCATCGGTGTCCCAGCTGGTGCTGTGTTTCCTGCATTCCTAAAGATGCTCCTGGGATGCTTTTAGTGCAGGTTGGGTAAACCCCAGAGAAGCAAAATGGGTGCTTGCAGGAGCTCTTCCCTGTTTTGTGGGTGTTCCAGTTTGTCTGCGAGCATATAAATGCTGAGGGATCCCGGTTTGCAGCTGTGGGTTAGTGTAGATAGCAGGGAGCCCAGGGTTTTGGCTGGTCAACTATCATCCCAGGGCTGGCGGCAGTCCTGGAGGTGGCTTTGCCACTGTCTAGTGGAGGGCAGGAAGTTTTGGGCAGAGAAAGCTGTGGGGATGCACTTCCAGCAGCTGGCTTGTGTCCTTCAAATCGTCTTCCTGGAGTTCCGGCACTTGGGATTGCGGCTCTGATGATGGAGTGACCACCCTCAGGACTTACCTTGGCTACAAGCAAGTCCCTGTTGGCAGCAGCAAAACTCCAGCACTAAGAACAAGGTACCCCAAACAGCATCACCCCCAAAGTGTGCTGGGTGTCCCACCACTGGAGAGATGAGACTTTGATTGGCTGTGGTTTGGAAAATGGGGGGGATTGGATGAGAGGGCTTTGTGTCCTCTTACTGAAATTGTGCTGGGTCTGATTTGCATGAGGTGGGGATTTCCGAGTGTCAGCAGTGCTGGGAGAAGCAACAGCATGGGGAGCAACAGCCTCCTTTGGGAGTTGGTCCCTTCAGAAATGGATGCTAGGGGCTTTCCCAGAAGATGCTTCTGGCCCTTCACAAGTATATCAGAAGCACACGAATTAACTCTGTGTTGGGGCTGGTGGGACTCTGCAGTCCCACTGTCTGGCGTGCTGGCCCTCGATCCCTCTCCCAGCATCTCATCTTGGCTTGTTTCCTGGAATGTTCTATCGTTTGGGTTATATTTGGGATTGGCTGCCAAGAACCCCCGTTTCTCATGGCCAGCCCAGCTGGGACTTGGCTCCAGCAGGAAGCGTGAGGAAAGGAAGAGGGGCCAGAGCTCTGAAGCCATGCCCTCAGCATCTTCTTCCTGCATTTAAACCCTTAAAACCAACCTCTCTGCCTCTAAAACTAGACTGGGCCATCACATGCCATCAGCCCCAGGCTGGATCTCAGGGTTGTGTCACCTGCATTGTGAGGGATGTTCAAGGGAGGCAGGGTTGGGCTGTGGGGCATTTCTGCAAGGCCACCACTGAGAAGCCCCACTTGCACAGCTTCTCCAGGACAAGCTGGAAATTGACTTTTAAGCACATGGTTTAGTGGGCATGGTGGTGATGGGATGATGATTGAACTAGATGATCTTAGAGGTCTTTTCCAACCTTAATAGTTCTGTGAAAAAGGACTTCTCTGCAGTGAAAAGCCAGCAGAGCCCCTAGCCAGCAGGCAGCTGGAGGCTGTCTGTCTGTCTCAGGGCTCTGGCTCACTGCCTCGACGCCAGGCTCGCCATGCAGGGACGTGGCAAGAGGGACTGCCCGCAGAGCAGAGAAGGCAATCCCCCACAGCACCAAGGGGGAGTCCAGCCTCTGGGGGAACGCCTGGGGAAGCACAGTGGGATGTGTGGGGTGGGCAGCTTTGAACCACAGCTTTGCTGCATGGTGCTGAGCCGAGTCCTTCTCGTGCTCCCCTGAACGGCTCACAGCACTTTGCTGACAGCCCCTGCGGTTCCAGGGCAGATGTTTGTGCAAGTGTGTAAGCGTCTCGGGCCAGATCCAGGGCTGGCTTGGGCATCGGACCCACTGCCAGCTGGAGGTGCTGTGTCAGTGCCTTTCTCCTTGTTAGCACTGACCCTGGTCAGTAATAATCACTAGGGGCACTCACAAAGTACTTTCTCTCCCCTGAAGCCAACTCTTGGCTTTTGTAGCCCTTAATATCAGGGGGCCCTTCGGCAGGGAGAAATTACTTCTGAAACTGGGGAAACTGAGGCAGAGAGCGTGGCACTATCTCTGCTGTAGCCCAGAGCTCAGCACTGCCCCAACCACTCCTCCCCACTGCTTTTCACATTGAAACCAATTTGGGGTCACAAAGGCAGGTCTGACCCGGTGGCTTTGCTCAGACTGGTGGGACTGATTGTGGTAGGCAGAGGAAGCTCCTCTCCCTGCTTTGCTTTTTTTCCCCCCTTTTGTTTTGCTAGTTTCTAAACAGACCGTTCAGTGTTGTTCTTAATTTAAAACAAAGCCTTTGTTTGGTAGCGTTGTGTGGATTTCAAATGATTTAAAAAAAATAAAACAACCCCTTAAACGAAAGAAACAGAATCCTCCTCAGATTTGGAACTAGCAGCTGCCTTTGACCGTGAACTCACTTCCCTCCTATCTAGTTCATTTCCTTTCTCCCCCAGACCTGCCAGCCATCTAGGAAATCAGGATTTCACATGTCCCTGCCTGCTGCCATCCTGCAGCAGCTCAGCCCCACAGTTTAACCCTGTGCAGACTTGGCTCCCTGAGCCCTTAATGCATGGTGGTGGGTGCCAGCACCTCCCTGCTATGGGAAAGGCAGCATTGCAAAGCAGGCTGCAGCCATGCCAGGGCTGCTTGGGGGGGAGCTTTGATTTTGCACATGGGAACGGAAGGTGGGAGCTGCAGGTACCCACCCAGGCCCCTCGGCAGTGGGATGCGTGCCAGCATACGGCAGGAGCTGCTGCCTCAGCTTGCTCCAGTGTTCCTATTGCAGGACTGTACCCTGAAAGCCCCACTCCTGGCCTCCTGCAGCTCCCTGTGCCTCAAGTGGATTTTCCTGCCCATCAGACCCTGTGCAGTGGGAGCTTTGGAGAGAGGTTAGGAAAGAATCTGGTTCCTGGCATGGTGCCTCCGCCTGCTCCTTTTGGTTGTAAATCCCAGGATGTGTTCTTGGCTTTGCGTTAAATTGAATTTCTGGAGTACATTTTTCTCCCTGATTCCAGTAAGGATTCACGAGGCCTTTAAATGGCTCAGTAATTCAGTAGCGAAGCTGGCAAGGATCCCAAGAGCAAAACCACTCATTATCCAGCTGTGCCTAGCTGCAGCTAGCCCAGGGATGGGTCTGCTCTGCATTTGGGCAGCACTGGGTACTGCTCTCTTATTCCTGGGAACAGCGAACAGATGCAGAGTAGGAAAACATCTGGCAGGTGTTTAGCAGGCTTCTTACTCTGTGTTTTGATTTTTTTTTAATTGATGTTTCATTGATGTTCCAAAGCATCCGTCCAGCCTAATGCAGGGATAACTTAGTTGTTCTCCTAAGCTCTGTGATGGTGGTAACACATCACTGTACTTGTGGGGAAGGCTGTGGCTTGTCCCCACTGGCCTCTGCTGGCACCTGTCAGGGCTCTCCCCTGCTGCCATGTGGAAAGTCCCACAGAACAGCTCCTGTGTCCTGGAGGGACTCCGGGGGGAACCCAGGCTCCTCCAGCAAGGTGGTTGGCTGATCTCTGCTGGATAAAACAGGATTTGGTTTTGGCTTGGGACTGAGTTCACAAAGCAGAGTTCATAGAGCAGCTTTTGGCTAAGAGATGCCTTTTTAATGATGAACACGCATCCAAGCTTCACTTGGACACCGTTCCCTCCCACTCGTGACTTTGGGTAAATCACTTCCCCTTTCTGTGAACCTTTTTCTTCTTTTTTGCTTCAACTCCTCCTCCCTGGGGGAGGCTGCCTGGGGTCTTTTGCCTCCCCAGACTTTGGTGGGGCATTGAGCTCACTGTGGCCTTGTTCTCCCATTATTAATGCTGCAGAGGGGCACAGGGCACTGCACGTTTCAGCCTGTCCAAGCACACGGGATTTCCACCGGAGCTTCAGGAAGGAAAAAAGGGAAATGCTGCAGACCTCATCCGCACTGGCAGCCTCAGGAAGGGATGAACTCAGCACTTGTGAGCACTGACTTCCAGGTCACATCCCCTGTTCCCGGGGTGCTGTGGGATCGGAGCGCCATGGGGAATGCTGGCAGCACAGGCTCCCGTGCATTGTGTCACATCCTGGCCCTGGTGCGCTTGGACGCTGTTTCCCTTCTTTGGCTGTGGGTTTTGTTCTTCTGAACAAACACACAGGCAAAACAACAACAAGAATCCCCCCTTTTCCCATTGATCCGGGTGCTGGGGCTGTGTGAACTAGCAGCCAGCTGCAGTCACAGTGTTGTCCCTATGGCACTGGGGCTATTTTTGTGGGGAAGAGGCACAGCTCCTTTGCCAGGAAGGAAAGGGCCGCAGGTAGGTGAATGCTGTTGATATCATACTTCATTGTACTTCATTGCAGTAGTTCTGGACAAAAGCCCTGGAGATAAGAAGCTGGCTCCCAGCATCCCTGTGCTATCTCATCTCGGTTCAGGTGTACAGATGACAAAAATTTGTTTCATCCTCTCAGATACCTCCAACCTTGAAGATCCTCAGTGCTAACCCTGGTGCCCTCACACTGGCTGGCCCAACCCATGATGGCATTGTGTCTGAAGCAAGTTTTCAACAAAGACAAAACCTTCCGTCCCCGGAAGAAGTTTGAGCCTGGCACACAGCGCTTCGAGCTGTACAAGAAGGCTCAGGCCTCCCTCAAATCAGGGCTGGACCTAAAAGCTGTGGTACAGCTGCCTCCTGGCGAGAGCATCAATGACTGGATAGCTGTGCACGTGGTGGACTTCTTCAACCGCATCAACCTCATCTACGGCACCATGTCGGAGTACTGCACGGAGAAGAGCTGCCCTATCATGTCGGGTGGGCTCAAGTATGAGTACAGGTGGCAGGACGATAGCAAGTACAAGAAGCCAACCAAGCTCTCAGCCCCACAGTACATGTGTATGCTGATGGACTGGATTGAGATGCTCATTAACAACGAGGACATCTTCCCCACCAGAATAGGTGAGTGTGCTGTGATTCTACAGAAGGCTGTTGTTGTAACCCATGTAGTTTTCCAAGTTGTTGGTGCACCTCTGGGTTGGTACTGCTGAGCTTTGCAATCCTAAGGGCTCTGCTGATGAGCTGCTTTGGTCAGGAGCTATAGTGACTGATGTTGCCCCGTCTGCTGAGCTGCTTTCTTGTAGTTTCGGGGTGATGTTCAAGGCCTGGAGCTGGGATGCTGGCCAGTGGGTTCTGGTGAAAGAGAGCTATCATCTCTCCTCTTGACTAAGGGAGGCTGTTCTGGTTGCACAAACACATATTTCCTTTTCCAAGGCCACTACTAGGGTTCATTCTTCAAGCATCTTTGTGCATCCCTGAGTGACTTCAGCCTCCTTGCTGTGTGCTTCGTTACCTTGGCTCTCATTTGTATAAGGGAACTTAGCTGGACTCGCATTTCATGGTGTCATGCAGCAGGGAGGGTTGCAGGGTTTGGGAACAGTGCCCCAGGCACACTGCTGATTTCCATCCTTGCCATCTGCAGTGCAGCTGTCCTAAGACAAAGATTTCTCTGCTAAGGCCACCTGACCACAGACAAATCAAACTTTTTTTTAGAAACAGCAAGTGTGACCCAAGACAGCTAATACTGTCTGGGGCTAACCTCAGCATCCTTGTCCCACAAAAGCCACAAAACCTGGAGCAGCACATGATTCAGTGGGACTCAGTCATAGTTGTATTGGCAGCCAAGGGAGAGGTTTTTTGGGGGTCAGAGTGGGAAAATCTCTCATGCTGGGCTCAGAGGCTCAGCTGGAAATGAGCAGAAACAGAGATAGGTGGAGGAGATGAGGCATCTTCCTCATCCCCAGGGAAATCCACCCACAGGGCTCAATCCCACTGAAAAGCTTTGCTGTACAAATCCTTTGGAAGGAAAACTGTCTGTCTGCTGATCATGATGAGACAGCTTCCGGGACGGGAGGAGCGTGGCTGTCATAAATCTTCTCCAGCTCCTCCATACAACCCATATCAGTTAGCATGTTCTAGTTCTCATTTCCGCCCTCCCAACCAACATAGCGGGGCTGAAAAAAAACACCCTACTACATGCAGAATAAGCATTGTTCCCATGGAGGGATAAGAATAAGTGATTCTGCAGGCATATTTTTTAGCAGCTGGTAAAACTATGTCAATAGATCTCTTCATGAGCAGATTACCACCTGTACAATAGCACCATCCCCAGTAGTCGCTGTGCCTTGAGGTGCCTGCTGGCAGGAGAAGTCACGTTCAGTTTCATTCAGCGTCTCAGTGGGAGCATGCCCAGCACTCAGTGTCAGGGCCATTGGTAACACGTGGGAAGAAGACTCAGGTGGATGGAGTTTGCAGGGCTATGTGTCCCATGCCAGCACTGACGTGTATGCCGAAATCTCTCCATTTTTAAATGAGCACAGACGTGGGGCTTGGATGAAAACCAGCATTGGAAACGCCCCGTGCTCTCTGCCAAGCTTGTCTGTGGCTGGAAGGAACATTATTCGCAGGAGGCTCTGGGATGGTTCTTGGAAAACTCTTCTATGCTTAGACTCTGCTGTTCACGTATATTCCCAAAACAATGATAAAAAGCAGAGAAAACTCGATGCATAATTCTTTCTCTCTATAACAGGAGAAAAATGTTCAGAATTCAGCTAATTATTGCAGTTTTCTCAACTGGCTGTTTTTAACTCAGTTTGTCTTTTATTTTCTCCCCGTTTTGTTCCAAAATTAATGCCACACCACCTTGCAGCTGCCATCGTACCGTTAATTTCAAATTGGATTTAAGGGCTTATTTTTAGGAGAAGACGAATCATGGAACAATTCAGAGACCAGACTGGATGTTGGAAATAATATTACAACAATAATTCATCACGCAGTTCATTGAATTACTGCTTTTGGAGAGGGAAAAATACAATTGTAAAGAAGCAAAATAGTTTCACAGCACTGTTTCATCGTGAAAAAATGCAATTGGCTTGTGCATGAGGGCTGGGGATGAGAGAGATGGTGAGGAGGATCCAAGGCCCACTTGTATTCCCTTCCCGTAAGTGCAGACGCTTTTCATTTCCTTTTCCACACAGTCCCACATGACTTCCTTATGTTTTGAAGTGATCAGCACAGAGTGTGGAAAACAGACTTCTCTAAGCATTAAATCACATCTTGGGTTTCAAGGAAAACATCCAAGATAAGCTGAAGGTGCTAATTCATTTTGAGGCAGTGAGTCACACTACTCACCAGTGCCTTGATGAAATAGAACCTGCTGTATTTACAGCTTTTGCGCTGGCTTCCAGCACTTGTGATGCTCTGTGCTTTGCATCGCTGCTCTGCTCAGCTCCTGTTGGTACCATTTCTGCTGTGCAAAAAGAGTTGGCCCATCAGCCTCCTCCTTAGAGAGGGCTCTGAACTGAGGTCTGCATGTGCATAGGGTGAGGGAGAGACTTTCTTCAGAAAACCCAGATGATGGAAAAGAGAAGAGATTGAAATGTTGGAGAAGGGACTCAGGATGTGGTTGATTCCCACTGACCATTCATGTTTCAAGTATTTCAGCTGGAGGAAGGTGTATGCATCTGACAGGTGGGGGTGGCTGCTGGCTTTTGTCTGGAGCCTTTTGGAGAGGTTATGGTTGGAGATGATCTGGGTTACAATCACAGAATCATTAAGGTTGGAAAAGAGCTCTAAAGATAATCTAGTCCAACTGTTAACCCATCCCCACCATGCCTGCTGACCACGTCCCTTAGTACCACATCTCCACAGTTCTTGAACACTTCCAGGATGGTGACTCCACCACCTCCCTGGTCAGTATATCACTGCTCTTTATGAGAGGGAAATTCTTCCTAATATCCAACCTGAACTTTCCCTGATGCAACTTAAGACCATTATTCTCATCCTATCGCTGTTACGTGGGAGAAGAGGCTGACTACCAATCTCATCACAACCTCAACTGCTCTCCATAAGAGTTGTGCTCAAGACCCTTTACTAACTTTGTTGCCTTCCACAGATTGTCCAAGTCCAGCTGTGCCATTGACCTCTCTCACTGCCCATGTTTCCCCATGGTAGATGCTCACAACACATCCTCAGGGTCCTAGGACAGGAGAGTGTCACAAGGGAAGCAGACGTGGCTGCAACATGGGGACTGAAAGCAGGGCCTGACCATGTGCTTCATGCATTCAAGAGAGGTGATGTGGGCAGAAAGAGTCCCAACCAGTCCCCTGCGATCCATTGGGCCAAAAGGACCATAGCAGTGGTGATGTCGCAGCATGGTAGGCTAAGAGGTGACCTGTTGGAGTCCATTGGTGACTCCCATGGACTCCGTTGGTAGCCAGTCACCAATACGGCTGGGCCACGTCTGCAGAGGGCATGCACACACTGACACCTTGTGATGGACATAGGGAAGAGCAACTCAGTTGCATACCTCAGGAGCCGGGTGATACTGCTGGGTTCATTTGAAGCCACAGCAGTGGATAGCCTGGAAGGGTACTGTTAGGTCTTGGCAGCCCAGTGATATCTTTCATGATATCATTTCATCATTAGGAGTAAGATGACTTAGCAGCTCCTGTAGCTGCTATGCATCTCCATACAAGATCACTGCTCCTCTCTGCCTTCTTTGAGAGGAGGAGGTACCAGGCAGAGAACAGTGACAAACTGGAGAGAACACGTGGATTGCTGCCTGCCTGCTGGCACCTTGCTGAGCTCCTGGCAGCAGCTGCTCGTCCTTGGTCTCAGGACAGGCTGTTCAGAACAGCGTGTATTCCTCAGCTGTGGCCTGGGAACGTGCACTCATCACAAATTACTTGCCATGATGGGTTTTTCTTTATTAAAAGAAATATTTTTATGGCTAGTTCCTCAGATCTGGTCTGTAGGAGCCACCCTAATAGCACGTTTCAGGCCCCAGCTGTGTGATTAGGGCTTTTCGTTGCTCAGCAAATTCTCACTCAGTGCAAAAAGCTCAAATGAAGCCTTTGATAAAGCATGGTGTTTTTGCTGGCTGCAAGGAAGCCCAGCAGATTGCTCGCTGACCGTATCAGCCAGGCAGGCAGAGCAAGCACTATAGCTAAGGGTCAGGGCAGAAGCAGACCATTCATCAGTGGCATGGAGAGGTGCTTGGCAGAAAGGAGGAGGAGGAGCTATTAGAATCCTAATGGGTGATGTCAAAGACTCCAATGGGTTTTGTACTGCTGCAGGATGCTCACTGTTATGCAGGGCAGTGGCCATGAATCTCAGCCCCCTCTCTATGTAGGTGTGCTGCTAAGCCAAGGTGCACAACTTCCTCAAGATGAGTCCAAGCTATTTATCCATGGCACAAGCAACCCAAGCTTGTGCCTTCTGCACAAAGCAAGGTGAGACCAGGCTGTGTGACATCGCTCCAGACCAAAGATAACCTTCTGTTACAAGTACTTTGACAATAAGCTCAATGCTTATTGAGGAAAAGTCATTGCCATCTGCATTTTTTTAGCTAAGAGATGTGTGATCTGGCTATGGGGATTGTTTGGAAAGATTTTTAAGAGGTTAAGTGCTGCATTAGTAGGAAGCAAAGGGAGGAGACAGGTAGTGCTGTGGGAAGGGAGGATTTTATTTTGCTCTATGCACATCTGCATTGAATTGCTGGGGGGAGAGAAAGAACCTTCAGGAAAACAATTTCCACTTGGTTCACATTTAACCTTCCAAAAAATATTCAGGGGTTTCAAAGCCAGGTTTTCTGTAGAAATTTCCCTTAGTTTCCTGACACATCTGAGATTTTCACTGTCATAACTATGTATTTAGATAAGGATGTAAATAGAGAGTAATAAATTGTGTCCTTGTACAAGACAAAGCCAAAAGTATATGTTGGTGCATGAACACCTTGGTGGGATATTTCCGTAAGGAGCATCGTACAGGTGCAATCACATTGCAACCTTGAGACTGGCATTATTTTTCATGTTTTAATGGCACGTTTATTTGAAAAAAAGGATCCTAAAAACAGCTGGAACTCTGTTTCTGTTGATGCACCCATGATTGCCTGTTGGGTGTGGCTGGGACATTTAAACACTAGCTTGTTTGGGGTTTCTGTTTGTTTTGGGAAATGGTCAAATGGCTCTAACTTGCTTCTGCTTTGCAGGTGTTCCCTTCCCTAAGCAGTTCCAGCAAGTTTGCACTAAGATCCTCACCCGCCTCTTCCGTGTCTTTGTCCATGTCTACATCCACCACTTTGACAGCATCATCAACATGGGTGCTGAGGCTCATGTCAACACCTGCTACAAGCACTTTTACTACTTCATCAGGGAGTTCAGCCTTGTTGACCACCGAGAGCTGGAGCCTTTGGTAAGGATGCCCCAGGGATGGTGAAGAGGAGAGGGTCAGAGCAGAGTGGGTTGAACACAGCTCTGATAAATTCAGGCAGGGTCAGACTCTGCCCTGTGCAGGACATACAGCTCCAGATAGCAGCTAATATGGGTCTAGCAGGAGTTGCACTGCAGCCTCCCTTGGGAAGCAATTAAAGCAATTAGTCAAGCTCAAGAAAGCAAGAGACCTTGGACATAGCATGGAGTGGGGAGTAAAGGGAAGAGATATGCAGTCCTGGTATATAAACCACAAAATATGCAATTCTGTAAGAAAAGCAAATGTGTCACAGGCTATGTTGAGTGTGATCTGGCCTATGGAAACCTGTTGTGGTGGGAAGAATAATAGGGAACCCAGTAATTAGTATGCTATGCAAAGGGATGGGCTGCAGAAAAGGTCAAATGCAGCATGGGAGAGTTCAAAGACAAAGAGCTGAGAGAAGTCACAGTATGAGCTGCCTGTTTCTAAGTACCACGGGTGCCCCTAACCCTGAGTGCTAAAAGCTTTAACTCCTTTCCTTCTTTCTTTTTTCTCAGTCAATTTGCTGCCTCCTCTGTTCTGATTGCTATCTGGGAAGCTGGGATGATGACCCAACCAGGGGACACCTGAATGACAATAGCAGATTGATTAATTAATTACTTCATATAGTGTGACTGTGACCTATGTTATCACAATGGCCCTCAGCCACAGAAATTGACAGTTCAGCATCACTGTGTCCTCTATTCTTCCTCATAACCATTCCTCATGATAAACTTCTTTAACATTGATATAGGGCCCATAATAGTGTCATCTCCTTTGACTGATGCTTGTTAATGTAAATAATTAACAGCTAATAGCCAAAGCAGAGACTGATATTGCTAAATAGGCTGTGAGTGCCAGTAACACACATGCAATGTGAGATGATTTATGGTTCTGGATGATTCTGAGATGAACAGATTTTCCTGTGTGATGCAAGTAGGGTTAAATTACAAGGAAATGAGGCACACTTCTCTCTGGTTTTGTACATCTTGTGTCCTGGTGTGCCCATTGTTTGGTATCCACTACTTGGAATCTACACCCTACAGCAGCCTCAAGCACCCATGAGACCTCCTTCCATTCAGCAATGATGTGCTGTATGTGTGCAGGAGAGTGACCTGCAACCAGAGAGGGCTGAGTGCAGTGCTGGGGTGGGGAGCTGGGACAAGGTCCTGAAGATTGCGAACAGTTTTCAAAGACAGAAAGTGGTCCTTCTGAACAGCCTGTTACCTCAGCAAGACTGCACCTTGGCACTGCCAGCAGTCCTAAAATCTGATTGGCAAAGAAAAGCAGCCTGTTAGCTTACACAGAGCTTACCCTTGTCATCTTGTCCCTCCCTATGTTCAGCACTGGTAGCTCAGGACTAGGTTTTGTAGATGAAGCATTTGGGAAATAACAGTGAGAGGAGGGAATTCTGGCTATGGATGTTTGACCCTGAGTGTGGCTACTGGAAGAGCTGCTCAAACTGAAGAGGCATGCTTATGTATTAGGGATATCACAAAGCAGGAGGAGACCCCAGGAGATGGACATCAAACTAACAGTACTGAAGGCCAGAGATGTGAGTTGCCACCAGGTTTTTTGTGGCCCTTTGCTATTAGCACTCATTTGCATTACAGTGCAGCCATGGGATCCCTTGCCAGAACCACAGGCCCCTTCAGTGAGCTGTTGTCACCACCTGGAGGATGGCCAGCACTACTGGGAGCACCTTGCATCCCCAAGCTCTGGGAGTGGCACCACTTCTCTGTCTGCTCCTTGCTGAGTCAGGACATGCAGCTCAAACATTTTTCAGCCCTTTCCTTGGACTGCTCTCAACACTAAAACTAACCTCTTGACACTGAGACCAAGGAGCATGCCAGGAAGGAACTGCTGGGGCAGAGAGGTTCCCAAAAGGGCCACCATGGGAAACAAGAACAATCTCTGAACTCCATACAGCCACTTCCTTGGATTATTTTTGGATACCTATCAAACTGTTTTGCACATCACATCACCAAAACCTGTGTTTTGCACTTACTGGTTCTTTCTTTTTTCCTCCCCTTCAATGCAGAAAGAAATGACAGAACGAATTTGCCACTGAAACGATTTCAGCAGGCATACTCAGCAAGATCATTCAGCACAGACATTCAGACAAAACCCTGCAGTGGGAGATGTCTTCCCAAGGACTTGCTCTGGGCATTTCAACTGAACTAAGAAAACTGCAGAAGAGCCTTTTTTCTTCTTTGTCTTCAGATGCATCAATTTCCAAATGTTTTGTTAGCGAGACCTGCCCTGTAAGCAGGTGTGACCTTGACTACTGAGTCATGCCTGTTGCCTTTCTCACATGCATTGAACTATGATAACTTCTGAGATCAGCTCTGTAAAGCTGGTGACATTTGATCCCAACTGACTCCGTAAGGTTAGTTGCCAATGTCCCTTTTTTAACCACGAGCTATGAATGTCTGTCCTTCTGCCCTCATTCATGCTTTACCAAAGAGACTTTTCTTTCGCCCCCCCCAGGAATTTTTCATGCTTGGCAGAAAGGACTTCAGGATGTTTTAAGATGCATCCAATACCACTTGGACTAGTGACAAAGTGGCCCCATGACAAATGGAGGTGAACTGGGCCACTTTTCAGAGTGATCAGCAGTCTACCTGAGTATTTTCCATACTCAGAAATTGTGATACACAGTGAGGGAAAGAAACATGCCAGAAAACAAATGACGTTTCCTGATGTGTTGTCCTGGCTCTAAAAAGCAGATGCTGGCTGTAGAAATTATTGCCTTTCAATTACTCGACTGTAGCATAGACATTGTTCTTTTGACAAGAGTTTGACTTTTTTTTAATTATTACTATTTTGGGGGAGTTAAATTGTCTGAGCCACCGTGTTGTTATGTTTGTGTTTCTTTGTCTTTTTCTGGGAAAGTTTTATATGGAAGATACAGCTAATATGTATAAAAAAGGGCTTGCCCATTCCAGGGGAAGGGGGGGACGTGGGTAGAAAATGTAAATATTTAAGACAGCACTCAAGTTCACAAGTGGATTTTTAGTGCTCAAAGCACTTATTTTATTGTGAAAATCTATTTTTTTTAATCTTATGTACCAGATATATATTTTTACATGGAAATAAAATGGGACAAAATGGACACAAACCATCTGATACATCATGCCAATATTTTCTGTGTAATACAATCATTAAAAGTCCAAACATTTTTGTTCTGTCACTAATTAAAGAAGCAGGAATGAGCCTGGTGTCCTTTGTTCTTCCCTCATTCGTAGTAAGATGTCATGAAAATGCACCCGGGATAACCAGAGTGGATTTCCTTGACAGCTGTAACACTGATGGAGCTTAGTGTCATGTTGAAAGCTCAGCAACAGGCAACTTTGCAAAATTGTTGAAGAAAACTCTGCAAGTGCCTGCTGAAAACTTGATTCAGTGGAAATCTCTGGGATTTAAGCCTGTGTTAGGGCAGAGGGCTGGTAAGTCCTGTGTGGATGGTGACAAAATTGTCACCACTGAGTGGATGATGTCAGCTGGCCTGAGATATTCTTCCTCTCTTGGTGAAAGTTTTTGAGATGTAAAAGAAAATGTGGGAAGAGAAAAATGAGCTAAGAAAAAGCTGTTTTCAAGGGTTAAAATTCTGATAATGAAACCACTGAGGGGTAGAAAAGGATAAGACATGTTAATGACATGAGATCTATTCCTGGATTGCTTTCTTTGAGGTGGGAAATGCTGATTCTAGCAGAGAGTTTCACAATGAGATGCAAGATTGTCTCTTGAATGCATGCAGCTTTTTCCTTCTGGAGGCTGGCAGCTTTGCTAGCGCAGCCTGGCCAACCGGATTTCCTCATGAAGGTCAGGAAAGGACAAATGACTCACAAGTGTCAAGAAAACCATGAAGACAGAGTGTGGCATTCAGCTGCCTGCTGCAAAGAGACCCTGAGTCAGAGCTGAAATGCCAGCAGTGTGGGGAACTGAGTGCACGGCTGTGTGGAAGTAAAACAGCAACAGCAAGCAAGGTTGCTTACACAAGAGATCTCTTACTGTAGAGAGCATGGACTGGAGGACAGAGGATTCATGATTCTTTAACATGTAAGACTATTCAGCCTGTGTTAGAAGAGAAGCTTTGCTGCAATATGGGTAACACTCCAGATGCTATTTTATTACAAACTTTAATGAAGATGTACCACTTGGGAGTAGCCGTACTGTAACAGACCCATCTTTTTTTCATTTAATATTTTACATCCACTGGGCCAGTTTCCAATTGCTTTGGGCTATGCCCTAATGACAGCGTGAGGAGTAAGAGTTCTGCCATCCATTCATGTGGCTGGTTTGGTAAGCATATGTAAGTGCTGGCAGTATTGGGGCAACACACAGTAGGTATCCTGAGCTGGAGACGAGGACCAGCGCTGCCCTCATGATCTTCCTCCCTTGGGTCTTACCATCTTGCAGCTTTCCAGTAATGCCAAGATTCTCTCCATTTATATGCACTGGAGGGAGTAAGAGTTGGGAAGTAACAGGCTAAACCAGCAGGTTGGATGTCCTGGTTTAGGTGGCTACATATAAGTGGTAATAATGTTATCAAAGCCCTCTTTTACTGACACTATGGCTCAATGTTCTGCAGATTTAGTGACTCTTCATTTCTTAGGACTTACTTTCTTTCAGTCCTTGATTTTCTCCCTTCTGGAGGGGACTCCCTTCAGGTGTCAAAACACGCTGTACAGAGTATGGCCTGCTTAGATGTAGGCTGCGTATTGATGGAGTGCTTTGAGCAACAAGGGAGCACAATTTTGGCTGGATGAGGGCCCTGTGAGTTGATCTGATTTATTCTGGAATGTAAGGCAAATAGAAGGAAAAGTACAGTATGAATGTCTGGGCATCATGTGTCCTCCTGAGGCATAAAAAGCAGTAACAATCATTAATGAATGGTTTGTACAGTGGATACAAGCATTTTCTGTTTGTTTCCAGAAAGTTTGGTTTGCTCGTGTCCAGTAGACCATATATTTTCAAGGTCCCACATTACTTTGGCTTCCTATTAAATACAGTCAGTTCAGGAACTCTATCCTCAAAGGTAGTGGACTGGCACTGTGTCAAGGTGTGAGTAGTCCTCATGGGTCTAGCTACAGGAAAAGCAAGTTTCACCTTGGCTTTTGCACACATCCATACTAGCACTTTTAATGTCCACTTTGAGAACTTCACCTTGTCCCCTTCTGTGTACAGCTTTGGCATGGGGGATCCTGAAAATATGGCTGGAAATATGGTCTCTATTTGTAGGCGTATCCCATGCCACCCATTATGTTGCATGTAAATCATCAGGTTTCCTGAAAGAAAGCACCTTCTTTCCTGTGTGAAGAAGGGCTGTTCACAACAAAAAATGACACTGAGGTCTGAAGGTTTAATCACCCAAATGAGAAGTATAATTTTCAGAAAAACGGAGCCTGTATAGCTTCCTTGAATAGCAGAGGGAACAGTACATGCTCTGTGTTCTGAAAACCAGACTAGAGTAGATTGCAGGTGCTTAAATACAGATTTAGGTGCTTGGCTGTGGGCAGAAAACTGAGAGATAATTCTTGTCAAGGCTTAAAATCATTTTAGTAGTACATAGACCAAAGCACTGCAATCCAATTGTAACATGGCTAAATCAAAATTACCTTTGGTAATTATTTTGGTAATTATTTCTTATGTGCTTAACAGCCAATATGGGCAGCTCCTTATGTTCTCTGTGTTGCAAGGTAAAAAGCAGACACATTCTTGAAAAGGTATTAAAAGGAAAAATCATGTGGAGGAGCTAGTAATTTTACTGTGGTTAATACAGCAATTACAGTTTGAGAAGGTGCTTTTTTCTTCACTTTTTGCAGGAATTTATCCTGAAGTTTTAACTTAACCATTTCCTAGAAATGCCATGCCTATCTCATTAAAAACAAGAAGATGAAAACAAAAATCCTTTCTTTAATGCTTTACAGCAAACCAGTTTGAAACTTAAGTCTTGCCCTCTTGTTAAGTGTGCTGTGCATTTGGGTTACCTTGCAAGTAACAAAGGGGAAAGATTCAAGAATACACATTTTGCTTTGAGAATGGATGCCTATTATACAGACAGAAAATGCTGTGCTGTGTAAGAGCCCTTTAAACCAGCAGATAAAGGTGTGACAAGAAACAACAGATGGAAATAAAAATCCAGATAAATTCCATCTAAAAATAAGCTACAAATGTTTGACATCATCTCTGAGCACAGACAGTTCTAAATGCTGAGGATTTGAAAGTGCTTGGATTTGAGTTACTCTCATGAACTAGCCTTTAATTCTGTTCAAGTGGAGGAATACAAAGGAAGATGCTCAAGAATTACTCCTGAGCCCTTCAAGGATAAAAGGTTTCTAAGTATTGTTAAAAGAGAGAGACTGAGGAACATCCTCAGCTAAGATGGGCTTCTAGAAGTCCAGGTGAGGAAGAACTGTCAAGAGAGGCATCACTGTGGGTAAATCTTCATGTAGGGTTGCCTCTTGTTAGATATCAGAGCACTGCATGAATACACTCAAGCACCTCTAGGAAACTGCTTCAGTGCTTACGTTGTTTGAAGGACAATGTGCACTTTCGTGTCAGTTTGGTGATGAGAACAAAACATGTCTTTATCCTATAAGAGGATATCAAAAAGGTATCCTGGCGTTCAATACACCCCATTCTGTCCTGCAGCCTTCAGGTTTAAGCTGTCTGAGGCCCTGCTCTTCTGTTTCTGGACTGTTTTCTTTGAACCTAGAGGAAGAGCTGGCAGCTTTCTAAAGCTGTGGTGTATTCTTCTGGCCCCCTGACAGAGAAGGCAGCAAAAGCAAGTAGCCTATGTCTTTACTTGCATTAGACTTGTTGAGCTTGTGGCTTTGAGAGTTGTGCGTACCAATCTGCATGTCCAGATTGAAACCATACAGTTCTGGCATGCTCACGGATTAAAGCTATAAATCACTGACTGAGCTGAATTTCGTGTTTCTCTTGAGCCATTTTAACAATAGCTGACACTAGCAGAACAGAAGAGCTTTGTGTGAGAAATGCTGCTAACAACAACTTATTGGCCCTGTATGTGGTAGGAAAGTTAAATGTTGTGGTTCTTGTATAAATAAAAGTTCCTCTCCCTGCAAAACACTTTGGAGATGCATTTTGGTGCTTAGGGGATACGTACTTACTGTCCCGTTTGAAATGTGGTAGCACTGTATGCAAGCTCCTAGTTATTAGCAAATATGAGGTAAGGAGTAGTACCTCACAGGAGTTTTTGCTGGACTGCTGGATTTTCATCTTCATATATATATATACAAATATATATATATTTGTATACAGACTCTATGTTTTGCAGTTTAAGTCTTTTTACTTAGTCTACTACAATGAGTGGAGGATTGAAATGTCACCCAAATAGAGAATGACCTTTTAAAATGTCAATCTGAATTTATATGGAAGAAAGCTCTTCTTTGCCAGGGATACTTCTCTGCAAATGATTCTACCACCCTGCTCAGCCTTACTGAAATAGCACCGATAAAAAGGCTCAGGAAGAGAAAGTTAACTCCTCAGAAGCAGATCAGAGCTTCTCTTTGTACAACTAAGAGAAGAAGCTCATCCGCCAATTCAAAGGCAAGGTTTCTGTTATTAGTGAGCCTTTTTTCTCTTGCTGCTGAAAGACTTGTTTATTCCTGAAGGGGGGGGGGTGAAAAAATGAGGCTAGAATATGGATAAGCTACTGAAGAGTGTTTTGTGTTTGGTATCTGCATTACTAGTGTACTTTTTCCTTTCATCTCTCTTAGCCTGATCTGCTTGAAGATGTATTGAGCTTACTGGGTGTCAGGAGACACAACCCCAATCTCTCTGCTTTAGCCACACTGCTCTGAAAAGCAGAGGAGGTGGAAACTTTCTCCTTGTTGCCTGAAAAACTGCAGAGATATGCAAGCCCGCAGCTTGGTCCTGAGGCTAACCCTGAAACCCATGAAAAATCAACAGCTTACAAAGAATGCCTGTAGGAGCACAGGACAAAGATAGCAGGCAAGGAAATGACCTTTCAAACTATCTGCTATGCTGCTGGCATTACACACACACTACAGAATCAATCTGACAGGAAAGCCAGAACAAAACCAAAAAAAATCCAGAAAGACTTTTCTATAAAGTTATCCTTATTATCCCTTCTGTGCCCTAGCTCTTCACAAGAGCAAATATTTGATGAAGCCACGAGATGAGAAAGACTCACTGGCTTTCTTGAATGCACTGGTGTGTGTGAAGGTATTGCCTTAACAACGAGCTGAATGTTGTTTGATTGCTCATTCCTGTGGTGTTTTTTTCCCCCACTGAGCAGTCCTGATCCACCCTGTGTACATTCTAGAGGATCTAAAACAGGGCTCCAAGACAAGTTTTCCCATTTCTGAGGACATTTCATGGTAGCCACACCTGCAGTGTCATACCTCCCATTTCCTCACACAAGTGTGGGGCTACCATATATTTCGTGTCTGGACCAGGCAAGAATAATCTTGTGCAAAGCTAGAACGGCCACTTCAGCCCTGTGTTCACGAGGCCCTGAAGAAGCAGGCACTCAGGAAGGAGGCAGCGGCACAACACGGTGACCACCACAACCTCAGCCCAGGAAAGGGGCAGCAGCGCAAGATGGCGACCACCTCCACCTCAGGTTACCCCGGTGGGGCCCTCTTGCCACCAGTGGGAACACAGACGCTCATTCACACTCAAGTAAGACTTCAAGTTGGGTGGCCCAGCCATCTCCACGATACCCCTTCCCTGCTGGCATCGAGAAGAGGTGCGTCGCACCTCACCCGCACGCCAGCTGCGCACCCCCGGCAAGCGAAAATGGCCTCACGGCAAGTAGCGCTTCGCGCATGCGCGCTCCCCCCTCCCCAGCGGGCGGGCTGTCCGGCGGCGCAGCGCCACCCCCGCCGCGGGACGCCGGCGGCCGCCATGGAGGTGAGGGTGGAGGGCTGCGTGGCGGCTGGGGCTGCCGCTCCTCACATCGCTGAGGGGAGGTGTGGGAGGGGAAGGCTGAGGCAGGAGCCGGCAGGTCCGGCTGCGAGCAGGGTGAGCCAGGGGTACCGAACATCTTACTATAATGTATTTATTACCGCTGCTATCGCTGCGGTGACCTTGTGAAGTGCTTGTGAGGGAATAACGCCAGCAGCAGCAGTGACAGCCGGCTCCTGGCTTCAGGACATGTGTGGCAGCCAAGCATTAGCCCGTACCCCTGACAGTGCTGGTACTGGTTTGTAAAGTGTTGAATTTGTTTGAAAGTAAACCACCAATTAGATGGCTGGTTTGTTTTTTTCTTCTCTTCTCTTATTGAGCTGACTGCTTCTAAAGGCATTTTTTCTTTCATACAGATGAACACTGCTCGGTTCGCTTGGAAAGCCCGGCACCTGTTCTGGTAACTTTGAAGGTGTGCCTGTTGGCTTTCATGCACACAAAGCTGCTCCCTATGCCTCCCAGATGCTGGATGGAAGCGGGGCAGAACACAGCTGTGGAGCTGAGCCCCTTCCACGGCACTCCTGAAGGTAACTGTGGGTGGTATTGGCAGCTTTTCTGTGAAAATGGGTGTGTTGAGCATCCCAGAGCCCCTTGAAGTTAAATATTGTCAATGGTAACGCTATTCCGTGGTATGAATGCTGCTTAAGTACTCTGTAAAGCTTACACACACACACACGGGGTACTTAGGACTATGAGGAATTTCCTTTTACCTTCCTGTACCTTTCCTGGAAACAAGGTATTAAAGGGTACACCTTTTTGTGTGTGTTACATCAAACATAAAGATTCACTGCAGTTCAATGGCTGTTAATTTTAGGTGAAAGAAAGGAGGATGACAGGAAGAAAAATCACTCTTGTTTCAGGTTTTAAAAACACTATGTGGTAAATGAATCCCTCCAAAAAAGGCTTTTGTAGTATGGGAGTGTGTTGTGTAGCATTTTTCCCAGTGAGAGATGTCCTTATCTGATGGTTTGTGGGGTGTTGAGTATGAGCAGGAAATCCTTATCTTGTTTGTTCAAAATGAAAAGTTGTCTTCTAAGAAGTTATTCTCTTTGGTTTACACTTAAAAACTGACAAGGGAGCTTGCTGTGTGGGGTTAGAGGAGCTAATTGGTGATGCAGAGACAGTCTGCTGAGAGTTCTTGATGCCATCAGATGTTGCAGAGGGGAAGCAGCTTGCTGTTTCATAAGTGGTCCTTGGGACTGACTTGTCCTGCACAGCTCCTTAATTTAAAACTGCTCAAGGGGCTAGAGAAGCTTTGAGTAGTTGAGTCAAAGTACTGTTACAAGGACTTGTCTTATTTAAAATATGTATGATCTGGAATTTAAACTGATTTTGTAGCTCAGGTCCTTTGCACTGTGATAGAAACTCTTAAATATGAATTGTCTGGCAATAGTCAGTAGCATTAAATACTTTATTTGGCTGTCGAGCTCTATGTGGAAGGAAGGAAGGAAGATGGTTTTTAGTGTCCTAACCAGTATGTATGCCACGCTGTCCCAGACAGCACTTACTGTTCATGATTATTTGCTAGTCTGATGGAATATTACATCCTATTTCATCGTGTTATCCACTTGGTTGCCACAGAGGCA